AAGGACCCCTTCCCCAGAATGTAATACATCACCAGACTAGGTGGTGCATTATCTTTCTCCCTAAGCCCTAAAAGGGCATCTTCCCAGGTCCCCAGGCTTGCAACCCAGGTGTCATCTTTGACTCCTCATTCTCTCTCACCTCCTTCCATATACAATCTGTTGCCAAGGTCTTTCAATTTCACCTTGGCAACATCCTTTTTTCTCCTCTGATAATGCTACGGCTCTGGTGTAGACCCTCATTATCTTACACTTGGACAAGAGGCTGTTGGTGGGTTTACCTGTCATGAATCTCTCTTCACTGCAGTCCATCCTCCATTCAGCTGCCAAAGTGATTTTCCTAAAGCACAGATCCAACCATACTCAACCCTATTCAGTAAATGTCAGTGGCTGCCTATTACTTCCAGGATCAAAATCCTCTGTTTGGTATTCAATGCACTTTATAACCTAACTCCTTGCTATCTTTCCAGTCTTCTTAACACCTTACTCCCCACCACATACTCTTTGATTCAGTGACACTGGCCTCCTGGCTGTTCCAAAAACAACACTCCATCTCTCAGCTCTAGGCATTTTCTCTGTCTTCCATGCCTGAAATGCTCTCCCTCCTCATCTCTGCCTACTTAATTCTCTGGCTTCCTTCAAGACTCAACTAAAATCTCATTTTCTACAGAAAGCCTTTCTCAACCCTGCCCCAACCTCTGTAAATTCTTTTCTATTTATCCTGTTGTCTCCCCAATTAGTTTGTGAGCAACTTGAGGGCACAGAGTATTTTGCACAGAGTATTTTTTGTCTCCTCTATATCTTTAGTGCTTCACCCAGTACCTGATATAGTAGGTACTTAATGTTTATTGACTGACTATAAAACCTAAAGAAATCTTATCTGTATTCATCAATGGGTAGGAGGTTCACTTGGAGTTTTTTTTTTCCCAGTAGTGGAGACGAGTGATCCTCCATTACTATCTTACTGTGATGTCTCATCATGGTGTGAAGGTATCCTTGGGTTCTTGAAGGCTATGCTAGCAGAAGGTAAGCTCTGGCAGGCTCCACCAAGCTAGAAGGGTTTCTGATGTGAGTCCAGAGAGGGACTGTATAGGTGAAATAGTGGATAGAGTGCTGGACTTGAAGTTAGGAAGAACTGAGTTTGAATCATGCCTCTGATACTTACTAGCTATGTCACGCTAGGCAAGTCATTCATCTCTCTGCCTCAGTTTTCTCACCTGTAAAATGGAGATGATACTAGCATCTACTTCCCAGGATTTTTGTGAAGATGAAATCAAATGACATAATATATGCAAAGCACTTTACAAACTTTTAAGTTCTACTTAAACATTTTTTTTGTCTAATAAACTAAATCAACAGGCTCATCATTGGGTTGGCTACAGAGTGATGAAATTTTTAGTCATGGCATTTCTACAGGGGGAGCATCTATTAAATTGTAGCAGGTTTATGATTTATATTTGCAATAGTAATATGCACATAAACAAAATCCCACAAATTCTCAGATTTTTTAACTCTCTTTGAACCCAATCCAATAAGCATTTATTAAGCACTTATTTTATGCTAGGAGCTGAGAGTACAAAGAGTGAGGGAAGAGAATATGAATTTATCAAACACTACATGCCAGGAACTGTGCTATGTGCTTTACAAATATTATCTCATTTTACTCTCACAATAACCCTGAAAGTTAGGTGCTGTTATTATCCCCATTTTCCTGTTGTGGAAACTGGGACAAACAGAGTTTAAATGACTTGCCCATGGTCACAGTTTGTAAATGTCTGAGTCTGAATTTGAACTCAGGACTTCCTGACTCCAGACCCAACACTCTATCCACTGTGCCACCTAGTTGCCTTCAAAGGCAGCTACAAAGACACAAAGAAAATCAGTCTCCATCCCCAAGAAGCTTATAATCTATAAGAGGGAGGGATGTAACAGGCAAATAAGTAAGTATGCATATGATGATTTGAGAAGGTAAGAGAAAACACTAACAATGGAGGGGCTCAGGGAAGACTTCCTGTAGGGGATGGCATCTGAGCTGATCTCTGAAAGAAGCTGAGAATTCTAAGAGGTAGAGGTGGGGAATGAGGGCATCCAGACACATGACCTATGCAAAGGCACAATGATTGAAGATGAAGTCATGACGAAGGGTAGAAAGTAGAGTATGTTCAGAAAAGTAATATACAGTAAGTCCAGAAAGGTAAATCAGATCCAGATTGTAAAGGGTTGTAAAAGCTGAACTGAGAAGGTTGTATTGTGTCCTAGAGGCAATAGGAAGTCACTAATGTTTCTTGAGTAGGGGAGTGAAATGGTCAGACATGGTTTAGGAATATTATTTTGATATTTTGTGGAAGAGGTATCAGAGAGGGGAAAGACAGAAGTCAACAGTCCTATTTAGAAACTGTTGCAATAGTCCTGAAGCTCAGGGATCAGTGGCACCAAACCATCCATTCTCTCACCAATCTCCCTTATGACAAGATTAGGGATTACATTTATTAGAAGGCAATTAAGGCTTAAGGATGCAAGTGGTGACCAAGGAGGTGTTTCTATATGTGTCTCACTAACTGATATAAATGGGGATTGAGCTTGACTCCCAAATTTTATCAGCACCATGGTCTAATCCACTAAACTGGCTGACCCAAACTACATTACCACTAGCCACCTCACTTTACATGTGTCTGGATCGTAAGGATGTGGTCAAGCGAGGGAAGATGGTGTAACATGCAGCAGCAGCATGATAAATCAACAAAATGTAATGACTACTAAGAGTGTGACCAAATGAGAGCTAGTGGTACACAGGAGAATCAAGATTGAAAAGACAGCAGTCATTTGTCAGTGTAATTTTGAATTTAGGATTCCCCTTTTGCACTGCTGATCAATTTAGCTCTTCTTCCAAAACACTGAAGAGCTCTGATTTGTTTGGAACTAATTGTCACTGGATTCTTCAACTTTGTTTTTATCTCAAATTAAATGCTAATGTTATAAGTGAACCAGCCCTGCATATTTGGTATGCCAAACCCCTCTCTGATGTATCATTTCTTTTTTATTTTGATAAGTGTCTTTTAAACCTCTAAAGACTTTCACCTTCCCATCTCAGAAGCATGAGTGGACAAAGATTTCCATCAAAGCTGATCTCAAATGACTTTACTTCAAAGGTTGATCATCATAACTTGTTATTTATGAGTCTCCCAGATCATGCTATTAGTAGGATGGATACACATAAACCAAGCAGAATGCTGCACTTCTCTTTTAGTACTAAGTTGTCTCAGCACATTACTTCCACATTAAAATACCTTGGCTTCCAGTAAAATTGTGTATTGATTTTGAAGTTCTTTAACTCACTTATGCAGTATACGGTTTTAGCAGAGCCACAAAATCTTCCATCCATTTCTTCCATCGTCTGTTCCTAGTCACTTAGTGGTCCAAATTGGTTGACTATCTGGGATACCCTAAATACAGCCTTAGAATAATGGGAGTCCAAGCTTCTGTAATTATACTGTAGAGTTGTGGAATTGCCTTCCAAGTAAATTTTAGAAGGCTCAATTTTATCCAGCCTTTAAATAAAAACATAAAAGTTTCTCCTGTTAATTCCTTTTCTAGATTGTAAAGTTCCCTTCTGGAACTTATATGAAGGACATGACATAATTGTATTTTGTTTTCATTAAATGTTTCATTTGAGTTGGTAAGTCAACATACTTCACAGCCTGGCACTTTTTTTTTCTCTTGGCAACCATTTTTCTAGTGTAGAGATGCCTGTTTCAGCACTAAAGTAAAATAGTTGGATTCTGTTCCTCTCTAGGAAAAAATAATCCTCTGGGCTCAACTGATGTGAAGTCAGCCATTCAATAAGAGCAGTGTGTGGAAAAGGAAGGGGTGACTGGGGCATAGGTGATTCTGTGCAGTTGTCTTCCCAATGGACCTAGAACAACATCATGAATAGAAGACAGTGGAAAAGGAGACTCACACAAGGACTACTCCTATTAGTGGTGGTGGAAGAAGCTTCATGGAAAAGAATGAGAGACAGGCTTGTGATGAGTTATAGTGCATGTCCCATCTTCCAGTTTTTGGAAACCTCTACAAAGTCCTACTTTGGTGCCTTACAATGGCATGGAGGTCACTCTGGGTCCTTGAAGGCTACACCAGCAGAGTACAAGCTCTGGCAGGTTCTCCTCATGATGCAAAGGCTTCAAGTATAGTTCCAGTAGCAGACTGCACCTATTCCTAAGGACCAGTCTAGCTAGGTATAGAGAGTACCATTACCAGTAGACTAGGTACTTGGTGAAAAAATCCAAAATGGTCTTGGCCTTCTAGTCCCTTCTAGTCCTTTTTCTGGTTCTGCTTGACTATGCTTTTGTGGCCCCTTTCTCTACTGGTCAGGTCCTCCTGGAACTTCCATTTTAAGGGTAGTATCTAGGCCAGCTATATTCAGCTCTTCATTCCTTTCTGGGCTCTGATCTTGACTCTCCAGACTTCTTTCCCCATCTTTGCCCTCACTTTAAGATTCCTTTTATATACTGTCTGCACCCATTCAGGCTCCCTCAGGACAGGAGCTATCTTTTTGTTTGTATTTATATTCCCAGTGTTTAGCACAGGGTCTGGATGGAACACACTAAATCTTTTATAAATGCTTGTAAATTGATTGTAGAGGCAGAATGATAGATAGGTGGACCAGGGTGCTAAGAATCACGTGGTTGTTAGACTATAAGCATTAACTTGATTATTAGTACTCTAAATGTGAGATCCTCATCTAGTGACCATGACTGAACCTTCTGTAAGGAGACTTTCCCAGTGACTCCCATCCCTATCTCACTTCCACTGCTAGTGGGAGATTACCTCAAATTCACCCTGTATGTACATCATTGTTTGCATGCGGTTTTCCCCAATTAGAATGTGAGCTTCTTAAGATCAGGGATCATTTCTCCCACCACCAGTTTTTTTGTATCCCCAGAACTTAGTAGAGTACCTGTCACAAAGAAAGCTCTCAGTAAATGCTTGTTGACTTTACTTACCATACTCTTACAAGAACTGAATCATATCAATCTTGAGATTTTTGCTATAAATGAAACAAAAAAAGAGAGAAGTCATAGCTAAATGGAAAGGTGGCTCTCAGAATTTCCGTGTAGATAATAAGTTAGCTCTGGTGCACTTGGTTTTATTGTATATGCAAAAGCAACAAGAAATACCATCTCATGGGACATTTGGTCATCTGGCACTACAGTGCATACTTGATAATCATTTGTAAAAAGGCCATCATGAAAATAATTAGTTTCTATGCCAGGAATTGTTACAAAGTATGTAAAGGTAGAGAAATTCTGCAAAGAATTTAACAAGATCCTCTAATTTTAGTCAACATGGACTTGAATATTTACTCAGTTGTTTTAATTCAAAGGTGGGCAGGACAATGGATAATGTAAAAATATTTTGGCAAACATGGTTCAGTTATAAATTACTGCTTGCTCGATTGATTCAAGCATAAGCATAGGGGCTAAAAGCCTAATGACTAGACATAAACCACACACATATGTGATGAATGCTTCAAGAACAGAGTCAGGAGGCACTAGACATAGTAAGGCCAAAACAATATCACCAAAAATGAAGTGATTATATTTTAACCTACAGGAAATGAATTCTTACCATTGTGAGAGTAATTTCTAAATCAGCTGTCTCTGTACAGTCATACCACTCTCTTGTTAGATCAACGATCAAAATTAATAACAAATTAGAAGAATAAAAATGAGAAACAAATAAGCACACAAACACCAACTTGTCCTACTTAAACTATAAGTACTTAGGAAACAGATAAGAGAAGCAATATTGACATAGATTATCATGATTCCCTAAGTTAAGTTTGGTAGATTTCAATCAATTGCCACAAAGAAGAAACTAAAAGAACATAGAAACTTCCTTAGCAAGCAAATATACTCTTCTTGTCAGATAGAAAGATATGGCAGCCAAGGCCAATAACTGGTTTGGAAAGTGAACTTCTTTGCAGATATGATGGAAAAGGATAGTGGAATATTATTACCAGTATTATCTCATAAAGATAATTAGAAGCTTTCAGGAGTAATGGAAGGGGAGAAAAAATTTACAGAAAACTCTGCCAACTCATCCCCATAGAAATAGGAGCAGAAACTATCTCTACTGGTACCTATTCTAGTGCTTTCCTGTACTAGGTATGTAAAAACATACTTTAATACTAAAATGATAAAGAATACGATCTTTCTTGATTGAGAATGCATCTTAAATCATACAGTGCATTGGGAGGGGGTGTGTGGGATCATTATGAATATTTTACCATTCTTCGAGAGTATGAAAAAATCATGGTCATTTGAGTTTTTGGATCATTTGTGTTCTGGATAAATGGTACTTTAATAATTTACTTTTAATAGTGTTTTCATGACCTGTGTGTATTCTGAAATATCTCTTTGAAAAGCTCAGAACCTTTAAAATCTGGGAGGGGGAGGAGAATATATATTTCATATATTTATGTGTATATATATATATATATATATGTATGTATGTGTGTGTGTGTGTGTATATATATATATATATATAATTATCCTTTTTAAAAAATGTTTTAATGCTACAGTGTTTTTTCCTCTACGTTGCAATTACTTACATCTCTCTCTTTCTCCTTATAACAAGGAAATATAATGAAGCAAAACCAAATAGCACATTGAACATTAACAATCTTGTCTGTGTCTGTTGTTCACAACTTTTCTTCTGAGAAAAGGAAGGAATATTCCATCATTAGTCTCCTGGAGTCAAGCTAGGTGGTTATTGTTGCTGTAGCTGTTCAGTCATTTCAGTTGTGTTCTACTCTCGGTGACCCCATTTGGGGTTTTCTTGGTAGTATATTACTGGAATAATTTGCCATTTCCTTCTCCAGCTCATTTTACAGATGAGGAACTGAGGCAAACAGAGTTAAGTGACTTGCCCAGGATCACAAAGCTAGTAAGTGTCTGAGGCCAGATTTGAACTCAAGAAGATGAGTTTTCCTGACTCTAGGTCCAACAGTATCCACTGTACCACTAGCTTCCCCTAGAAAGGTGGATCATTTACAGTTTTTCTTTCAAAACTACTCATGTCTTTAAACTATTTATAAATATAATTTTAATTGGTCTTTTATACTGGCTCTCATTTATCCTGGATATCAGATCTTTATCAGAGATATCTGATGCAAATTTTCCCCAATAGATGGTTTCTCTTCTTGGGCAGCCAGATGGCATAGCTGATAGAGTGCCAGGCCTGGAGTCAGGAAGACTCATCTTTCTGAGTTCAAATCTAGCCTCAGACACTTACTAGCTGTGTGACGCTGGGTAAGTCACCTCACCCTGTTTGCCTCAGTTTCCTCATCTGTAAAAAATGACCTGGAGAAGGAAATGGCAAACGACTTCAGTATCTCTGCCAAGAAAACTCCAACTGGAGTCACAAAGAGTTGGACATGACTGAATGATAACAGCCACACACCTCTTTTTCTAGCCATACTGATTATGCTCATGAAAAAGCTTTTAAATTTGTATAATGAAAATAATTTATTTTGTAATTTTCTCTATACCTTATTTGTATGTGAAATTTCCTCCAAACCATAGATGGGAGAGGTATCTTTCAGTCTTCCTCTAGTTTTTGAATGGGAACCATCTCTAGTCATCCTGATCTATGTCTTGCCACTGGATCCATATGGCTCTGGAGGAGAAAGTGAGGGTGGTAACTCTGCACAGCCCTCCCTAATTTAAATCCAATTCACTTGCAAGTCATGGCATCACCTTCCTGATGTCATGGTCTTCTTCTAAAATGAAGGACAAACAGTAACAACAGTTTTTTAATAAATTACAGTCATTTTCCACATGCCCTTTGTGAATTTGCAAACTTCTACCTAGAAGTTATAATGTATCTTAAGAGTAAAAAAGTCCATTGCATAAAGTTAATTTCATTCAAACATCAGAATTAAGTTCGATACTTAGTCATTTTGGTGGTGAGTATTTCCTCTATCTGTGAAAATCACAACTCATCCACAATTCATCCCATGGAATTCTTGTCTGTCCTCTCCCAAATCCTCAAAAAAATGATCTCCCTAATGGGGGAAGTTTCATTTGCAGTCTTTTAATATTTTGTGGATATTAGTACAAAACTTCAGTTGTCCATCTATTATCCTTGCTACACAAGCACCAGAAAGCTTATTTGTACAAAACTGACTGTGGTTCTTTTCTTTTCTTTTTTACATTTTAAGTTCTGAACTGTCTCTCACCCCACCCTGCACTAGAGAAGGCCACCATTTCACACACACACACACACACACACACACACCCCACCATACCATGTGTACATCTATTTATCAGTTCTTTCTCTGGAGGTGGATAGCATCTTCCTTCATAGGTCCTTTGAAGTTGATTTGAATATTTATAATGTTCAGAATAGCTTAGTCATTCACAGTTATTCTTTAAACAATATTGCTATTACTGTATGCAATTTTCTCTTCATTCTGTTCATTTCACTCTTCATTATTTCATGCAAGTCTTTCCACGTATTTTCTAAAACCAACCTGTTCATCCACAAAATAATTTATTATCTCATTTGGATTATATATAATATATATATATATATATATATATATATACATATATATTTAATGTGTATATATGTATAGATAACAATTGTAAAACAATATCAGATGTGTGAAAGTGAGGGTATAGGATTTCAGGAGTTAAGCACTAGGATTTTAGGAGATGGAGAGGTCATTGGAGGGAGGGAAGAGAGGCTGGAATGGCCTGATAACATTTTATGGCTCAAGCTGAGCCTTGAAGCATGAGAAGAACTGAAATAGGGCATTATGGCTATTTCATTTTCATGATCCAGAATTCTGAAATTCCTTGATTTAACTATAGTCTCTTATCATTCCATCTTCCCCATGCCTTATTCCTCCTAACCTATTTTTAATCTTATCATGACTACTAGTCCCTTCACCCCTTATTGCCCCCTGCTCTAGCTTCATTTTCATCCCTTCTCAATACTGACCACCTAATTAACCAATTCAAATTTATAGCATCTTTTTTCAAATCCCTTGTCCTCTTTTTCTATGGCTCATATCTTGCCAAACCCTAACCCTAGATCACCCCTAGAATCATGCCTCCTTGTCACTTTACATGCTTAAATTTAGTCAAATTAGCCAATTTCTCATACATGACACTTTGTCTCTGGTCTCTGTGCTTTGACATAGATATCTCTCATGCCTCCAATGTACTTTCTCCTGACCTCTGCATCTTAGAATCCCTAGCTTCCTTCAGCTATTAGTGCCCCTCCCCCAAAAAAATTACCAATGTATTTACTTATATAAGTAAGGGATGTTTTTCCCTATAGAATCTAGGCTCCTCAAGAGTTATGACTTTTTTGTTTGTTTTTGCCTGTATCACCAGTATCCATCCAGTGCCCTGGCACATAATAAGTACTCAACACTTGATTGATTAGAGGTGGCAGTTTTAACAAAGGCAGAAGTGAATATAGGCGTTGTTGTGTATAGGGGACAATGCTGCTATTTGTTTGAATGACAAGAAGATTTGGTGTTCGGGAGTACCAGGTTTGGGGGAAGGGTTTGAGGTAGAGTTTAGATTTTTGTCATACACACCTTGTGAAGCCATTAAAAAATTCTCATCAGGAAGTAATATAACGAAAATAGCACTTTCCTTTCACACTGCTTCCCTTTATTCCCTTGTGGCACAAATAGTAGTGTGATCCTGGCAACTCATCTTCAGTATTTGAGGCAATTCTAAGACCATAAATTGTAAAGGTTCTGTGTAGTAGTAGAGTTCCCAAGAGTTCCCTATATCAACAAAATTACAAGGCCAATCCCTATTCTTGTTCTTTCTCTTTGCACACTCATGTTCTAGTCAAACTGGACTGTGCTCCATCCCCTATTCTTATCTGGATGCTTTCCTCCTTCTTTGTGTCTTTGCTCTCTTAGAGCTGGAAGGAACTTGCCATATTTCCTTCTATTAAAATTCTTTCCTTTAAGACCAACCTCAGGTGTCACCTTCTCCATGAAATTTTCCAAGCTAGAAATAAACACTCCCTTCTTAATTAAGTACTCATAGATCTTTGGTTCACATTCTTTTATTACAGGGTATTTCTATATTTTGGACAGCAAACTCCCTTAAAGGCAAGGATTATGTATTTCATCTTTGAATCCTCTACATCTAGCACAGTGTCTTACACATACTAGGCATATAATAAATGTTTAATTGAATTAAATGAGTATGAGGTAAGTATGGAGGTAAGATGGACCAAAGGGGCAAAACTAACAGCACAGAAGCCAGCTAAGGACTTGTTGCAACAGTTACGTGGTGTTCAACAGTCAATGACTGTACTCATACACTATTTGATAAATCCAAAGACTCCAGCTTCTGGGATAAGAAATCACTATTTAGCAAAAACTGCTGGGAAAACTAGAAAAATGTATGGCAGAAACTGGGCATAGACCAACATCTTATACTCTATACCAAGGTAAAGTCAAAAAGGATACACAATTCAGATATAAAGACTGATGCTATAAGCAAACTAGAAGAGAAGGAATAGTTTGTTTTTCAGATCTATGGAGAAGGGAAGAATTGATGACCAAACAGGAGACATTATGAAATGCAAAATGAACAGTTTTGATTACATTAAACTGAAAAGTTTTTGCACAAATAAAGCCAATGCATACAAGATTAGGAGGGGAGAAGAAAATTGGGAAAGAATTTTTACAACCAGTGTCTCTGATAAAGGCCTCATTTCTAAAATATATAGAGAATATATCTATATCTCTATGTATCTATCTATATATACATATATATATACACACACATATATATATGTATATATATATATATATACACATATATATATATAAATATAGAGAGAACTAAGTCAAATTTATATTTACAAGTCATTCCCCAATTGATAAATGAACAGGCAGTTCTCAGAGGAAGAAACTAAAGCTATCTATAGTCATATGAAGAAATGTTCTAAATCACAATTGGTTAGAGAGTGCAAATCAAAACGACTCTGAGGTACCACATCACACCTATCAGACTGGCTAACATGACAAAACAGGAAAATGATAAATGTTGGAGAAGATGTGGGAAATTTGGAACATGAATACATTGTTGGTGGAATTGTGAAATGATCCAACCATTTTGGAAAGCAATTTGGGGCTGTGCCCAAAGGGCTATAAAATTTTTCATACCCTTTGACCCAGTAATACCACTTCTAGGGCTATATCCCAAAGAGATCATAAAAATGGGAAAAGGACCCACATGTACAAAACTACTTACAGCAGCTTTTTTTGTGGTGCCAAAGAATTGTAAATTGAGGGGATGCCCATCAATTGGGGAATGGCTGAACAAGTTGTGGTATATAAATGCAATGGAATACTATTGTGCTATAAGAAATGATGAGCAGGCAAACTTCAAAAATATTTGGAAAGACTTACATGAACTGATACAGAGTGAAGTGAGCAGAACCAGGAGAACATTGTACACACTAACATATCATGGGATGACTGACTTTGATAGACTTAGCTCTTCAGAGCAATGCAAGACAACTACAAAACATTCATGATGGAAATTACTGCCCATACTCAGAGAAAGAAATATGTAGTCTGAATGCAAATGGAAGCATACTATTTGCTCTCCTTTTCCTTTGTTGTTTTGTTTTATTGCTTCATTCTCATGGTTCTTCTTCCCATTAGTTCTGATTGTTCTTTACATCATGACTAATGGGAAAATATGCTTAACATGAATGTATATGTACAGCCTATATCAGATTATATGCCGTCGGGGGCAGGGGGAAGAAACAGGAGGGGAAGAAAATTTAAAACTCAAAATCTTAAATAAATGTTGAAAACTTAAAGTAAACAAAGACCAAACAAATAAAAATTAAAAAATAATAAAAGTGAAGAAGCTAAGAGTCACCCTGGATTCCTTACACTCTCTCTCTCTCTCACACACACACACACACACACACACACACACACACACACACAAACACACACATGCACGCACATACACACATAAACAAACCAGTTACATGGTATTAAGGGCCCGAGTTGGGTTACTGGCAATAGGAAGGGGGCAGATTTGAAACATTTTGAAATAACTGACGGGATTTGGAATCCACAGATTCCTTGTGTTCAAAAATCACATTGCCCAACTAAAATTCCATGTCTTAGTTCAGAAGTATAATGATTTTGGTGCAAATTTTCTCCATTTCTCTGCTTCCCCAGTTCTCTGAGTCCCAACGTTCTAATCTAGATCCTACTTTATTAACCACTTGATAACAGAGAAATTAAGACTTTTTCAATATAATCCTTCCCCTCAAACTATCTCTCTACCAAAATCAGAATCACAACATCAGAAAATAAGAAAGATTTACTTTTTGGATATTTTATATGATACATGCACAGCTAACCCTTAAACTCTACGTAGATCTAGTAACTCTAAACACTATACATCATTTAACAATATAAATGTAATAACATAACCAAATACTACTGTTAATGACATTAACAGATGAAGATCTTTTGCCTACCAATTGAAGGGATAAATTGTCTGAAATCTATTTTCTTCGCAAGCTGAATTAGTACTGTGACAAAAGATCACAAAAGTTTCATGAAACACATCAGCCTACCTGATGTTAAAGGTCTTCATTTGAATGTCTTTATGATACTTTTGATTTTTTTAGAATAGGGTCTGATTGGTTATTTAATAGAATGCCAATAAAGGCTCAAAACGTTAGCAAAAACTTATTAAATATTCTGAGTTTATTATGAACAAGTAACATTAAAATGCCTATCATTTTAGCTTTGATTTAGAAATCCCCATATACAAGGAAAGTTTGGGAATTGAATAAATATTTATTGCATCCTTTATAGATATCATATAAAACTTTGGTCATATAGTTGAATTATTCTGCTAATTTTCAAGAGGGTAAAATAAAAATGTCTTACTCATAAGGAGTGAAATATTTTAGAGATTAAAGTTATGGGGAAACCTGTTATCTATACTCCAGTTTTTCTCCCCCAATTCATTTCTACCACCTGTGCCCTCGTGGCTATTTGCCCAATTGTGGCATTGTGGAAATGAGAGGAGACTGAGGTAGCCCTGGCATGTACTCTTATTTTGGTATCATTTCATATCTTTAAAACCCAGTGGTGTATCTAGAGGCAGACAGTGTTTTCACCACTATGGCGTTTTGTTACCGCAGCCAATCTGGAATCCTGCCTTGCTGGGGTTCTCATTGGACTCAATCGCCTCTCTGGAATGTCTTGCTTGGTCCCTGCCAGCACCACCCTTTCCTTTTCTTCTCCCTTTCCTTCAATGAGGTCATGCCACCTTTTCTTTAGCCCTTTATGGTCTATGGTTCTTATCAATGCCAGGGTTAGTTTGTTCACTAAAAACATGAGTTCTTAATTTTGTGGCTCCCTAAAAGAAGTACTTTTAATCTAGAACCATTTGGGATTTCAGTTACAGTAATTTAAGAAATTGGATTTGCTAACAGAAGAGCAGTTTGTAACTAGACATGCAAATGGAAAGAAAAATTTATTACCATTAGTGTAAATGAAATGGTGACGGTTTATAAAATATGAAATGGGTAGATTATTATTAAGTAAGGTAAAATGAAAATGAATTATTAGTCCCATGTTTACAAAGTAATGTGGAAGGGGGAAGAAAAAGGCCAATGTCTGTGCTTTAAACCATCCAATAACCACAAAATATACAAGACAAAGACAATTCAGGTTCCAGCAGATCCCAGCCCCATCATTTTATATACATCAGTGTTGTTCTCTTTCTGCATCTGCAAATAATTAACAATAACAACAACAAGTTCAAACAACACAGCAAACAGACTAGCTTTTAAAAATAAGAATCACAAAAATGTACAAACCTATGGATATCAACACATGTAAATTTTATATTTCCTAACAGTTCATGTGTAGAGATTGGCTTCAATAACTTAAAGAGAGAAAAACAACATGAAATTGGCCTTATTTTTAAAAAAAGCTAAAGGAATTAAGCTAATTTATCTTGGATAGCAAAACAGAAAAGAAGAATTTAAAGTCATATATGCAAAGTGATGTTGTCTGCGTTATGAGAAATCCTTCTTTCTGCAGAGGGTTGGGTGTTTGCCTCTGGGATTTTGTTATCTTGTTATGGTACCCGCGAAAAGTATTTTGATTTTACCTTTCTGACTTCAAATGCTATAAAATGCTGGAACTTGTTTCTAAGGGGGTTGACTGAATCTCTTTCTCTGGAGATTTTAAGGAACAGAGCCAACAGTTGTTTTGGGAGTCAGTCATTCCTGTAAAATATAATAACAACAATAATAATAGCAACATTTATGCAGAATTTTAAGGTTTGTAAGGCACTTTACAAATTTTGTTTTATAGATGCTGTTATTCTACCCCCCCATTTTAAAGATGGGAAAACTGAGGCAGAGGATTAAGTGACTTGCCCAGAGGGACACAGAATATAAGTATCTGAGGCTAGATTTGAACCATGGTCTTCCTGACTCTAGGTCCAGTACTCTATCCATTATATTCTAGACTGTCCATAAACTATATGTAAATATATAAAAAATGTGTATAATAGTACCTCAACTATGTAAATGTGTGTGTATGTGTGTATGTGTGTGTATAAAATCAGTGAAGAATGATGATAATGTGTTTCCTAGGAAAAGTGAGGAAGCAGATTTTTTAAAGTATGCTAGGTTTTACATGAATTTACCTAGCTTCAATGACCTGCTGCCCTGACAATTCAAATATTTTATAAGGATACAATTACTCAAAAGAGCAAATACTTTTTTCATATCTCAATCTATAAACAATGGCCAAAGCTGTAAGATTTCTTTACTAGATGCTCCCATTCAGATTGTTTCCTGGTAACACACTCTTTATTCTAGGAAACTGTCTCATCTGACCTTGTAGAACAAGATCCCACAGGAGATAAGATTCCAACAAGTACTAGGACTTGTGTGTCTTGTGGGACATTCCATCTCCCACTTCCATGTCTTTGTACAGGCTGTCCCCCACACCTGACATTCTCCTTCCATACTTGCCTCTTGGAATTAGTTCCCTTCATGGTTCAATTCAATGCCACTACTTTTGTTGCTGGTGTTGTTCAGTTGTTTCAGTTGTGTCTGACTCTTCATGACCCCATTTTTGGGGTTTTCCTGGCAAAGATACTGGAGTGGTTTGCCATTTCCTTCTCCAACTCATTTTACAGATGAGGAAACTGAGGCAGAGCTAAGTGACTTGCCCAGGGTCATACAACTAGTGTCTGAGGCCAGATTTGAACTCAGGTCTTCCTGACTTCAGGCCCAGCACTAAGGCACCACTTAGCTACCCCTTCCTATAAGAGGCCTTTTCTGGTTCTCCCAAGTATTAGTGATGCCCACCTATACTTGGCTTGTATTCTGTATTTACTTATCTATGCATATGTTGTTTTTCCCTGACAGAATATAAGCTTCTTGAAGGCCAGGACTATCTCAACTTTTTGTCTCCAGGACCTAGCAGTGTTTTAACCCATAGTAAGTTCTTTAAAAATACTCCCTGAATTGAATATTCAAACTTCATCATCCTATGTTCTTACAGGTTTGCCTTCAGTTAGCATGCTTTTCCATGAAATAGCTCATAAACCAATAAAGCAAAGCTTCCATACTTTCATTAATATTTCTAGTATATAAAGAAAATTGTAGCTTTCACATGCAAGGACCCTTCCAACAACAGCAAAAGGAACTCCTCAAAATAGCAATATTTTTCCTAATTAACAAATAAAAATGAAATTGTTAAGGTTGTCCATATTTAGAGAATGAAGAAATGAAAAAGTTTAGAGTGAGAGGCAATTGTTGCTAAATGGCAAGAGGATGTGATATCACTATTAAGCTTGGGAATTCTTTTATTCCTAGCTCTCCAACTCCCAGAGGGTTGTTGTGAGGATCAAAAGATAATATTTGGAAAGAGCTTAGCACATTGCCTATCACATAGTAGGCACTTCAAAAGTGTTTTTTTTCACTTCACCTTTCCTAATATGAATTATAAAAGACAACTCAAAATGCAATTTTTGGGTAGAGATTTTATATTGAAAAATCAGCTTCTATTGGAATGGTTCAAAAACAGTTCTAGAAATCAGAAATCTTTTCTTTCTATTCTGTTAGTGTTTACAGTAGGAATAAAGCCATCACTTAACAATTCTTCTAGCTTCCTAGCCATGCTTATTGCCATTGAACTTTCATTTAAAAAAGTCACTTAAAACCAAAAAAAAAGTTTATAAGCAGTCTCTCATCTTTTCATTTACCAGTGCTTTAAAATTTTTTTTTTAAAACAACACATGGTAGCTTCTTATATTGGTTTTGTGGTACCACGTGAATATTAAGGATTGTAAAAAAAAAAGGAATAACAATCTATTCAAAGCTTGCATGAATAGAAAGCTAGGGCTCTCACAGCTTTTAAAAAAGATTGATGTCAAATGTTAAAATTTAAAACATGAAGTATTTTCCTTAAAAAATTTGATCAAGTGCATTTACTTATTGATGAATATTAGTTTTGCCCCTGTCTTGCTGAAGTGTTAAGTCCTTTATGAGACATTTCCATTCATTCAAAGCATGCTTTAATATCTGTCAAGATAGAATGAAGACAAGTTCAATTCTTTTAATGGCATAACTATATGTAGATCAACCCAGAATCAAAGAAGATTAGAGCTAGATATTAGAAATGGTGTATTCCAAGCCCCTAATTTTACACATCTGAAGTAATTCACCTCAGATCATAATGCTGACAGGTAAGAGAACTGGCATTAGTACCCAGGTCTCAAGTTGTTGCTTGAAATTGAGGGAAACTGTCATCATAACATGATATTATCAGCTTTTCCTAAATGAGATCTCTCAACTGCCATTTTATTGACCCAATATGCCATACTAAAACTCTCGTGATAGCTTGTAATTCTCTATCCTGATGAAGAGAAGTGGTAGCATGGATAATCCTTAACAGCAAGTAAGCCAAAAATAATTTCTATTTTGTTTTGAGGGCATTAACGTCTTGGACTATAGACCGGTCTGGTGAGAGGGATACAAAGCAAAAAATAAAATACCATTGGTCCTAAAGAACTAACATTCTACCCAGGGAGACAATATGTACAAAATATGGGTTACACACAAGGGAACTTAGACAGCAAGGCACTAGCAGTTAAGAGGAGCAGGAAAGGACTTCTGCAGAAGGTGGCAGAGGCAGAGATTAGTTCAAAAGCTTGGAGAATGGAGATTGACCAGTATATTAGATTGCAGAATGCATGGAAAGAAACAATGTGTAAGGAGACTACAAAGATAAGAAGAGGCCAGGTTTTAAAGGACTTTAAATGCCAAACATGTCTACTATCTCTAGGGAGCTACTGGATTTTATTGGGGAGGGAGGCGGAATCATTACATCTGAATTTTAGAACCATCTCTTTGGTGGTTCAGCATATATAACACAGTAACTGCCTTTCCCAGGTGAAGCCTCCCAAATGAAATTTCATTGGCCCAGAATTATGTAAAAGGTGACAATATATTTCTTTTATGCAGTTATTTCAGAAATGTTTCTTTTGAATTGATATTCTCCTTCTAGTCTTTGGAATTGGGATCATTGATATACCTGTGACTTTCACTTTTCTTTTATTGCCAGCATTTTCTCTTGCAAACTGTCCTTGAAAAAGGCAGTATTCTGACTTGAATCGCTCTTTTTCCCTTTTGCATGGTACCAAATGTATCAATAAACCAAGTGTCTTTACTACTTACATACTCCTCTTTTACCAAACAGTGTACTCGTCTGTTTGGTGGGTTTAAAATGTCTACAGAGCAGTGGACAGAACCCATTAAAGACAATCCATTACTGTTCCTCACTACCATGTATCATTAGGTTTCAAGAGATCCTTACATTACTCTGGTTTTTTTTAAAGTATAAAACAATGAGTCCTATTTTTTTAAATTCTATATTTTAGGATTAACCTCTATAATTTACAATCATGTCTCTCCACTGTGGATTATCCCATGTTAATTCTTACTCTCAAATTTTCATATCATCTACTCAGCTTAGTTAAGCACTTTGTTGGCATATACAATATCTTTGTTTACTCTAGACTAGAAAGAGATGTAAGAGGAGGCCTTTTAAGCCAAATCAATTATATCTCTACTCCAGAGAAGGTATGAATGAACAAGTTAGCGCAGAAGTCAACTCTGCTTTTAGGCTGGCTCTTTGTGTTAGTCTGAGAGGTGATGTAATCTATTCCCAACAGAGTGGGGAAGGAAAGGAGCTGATCTGAGTATGAGTCTGTCCTAAAGACAGACATTTACCATATTGTTTCCTTAGTTTGAATCATTGTGAAGACTCGGCATATCAGACACATAAATAGCCCAAGACAGTAATATTCCCAAAGTCAAACAGAAATGATTCTTTAACGATTATCCATGCTACTAATTCTCTCCATGAGAATAGAGAATCGTAAGCTATCACTAGATTTTTAGTATGGCATATTTGTCATGCTTGTCTTTTAAATAAACATATTTTAAAATAATTCTCACTGATCAGAAATGCCATAAATCTTTTTAGCATTAGAAGTAAATTCTTGGGGACAGCTAGGTGACGCAGTGGATAGAACATCGACCCTGGATTCAGGAGGACCTGAGTTCAAATCTGGCCTCAGACACATAATACTTAATAGCTGTGTAACCCTGGGCAAGTCACTTAACCCCATTGCCTAGCCAAAAAAAAAAGAAAAGAAGTAAATTCTTGCCCCGGGATATTGAATATATCCTGCATATATCCATAAGGGTCAAAATTGTGGTCCTTTGACATCATCACTTGAAGGCCTAGTCTAATGCAGCAGAGTTCATTCCTTTGGTATGGTCACTCATGACAGAGTTTAAGTCATTACATCTCTGCCACCATGAATTACTACTAGGTTTCAGTATTTCCAGATATCCCATTTTCAGGGGTCTCACCTTTTACAACAGATTCAATTACATGAAAATTAGTCTAAATTAGTTCAGAGTAGAACCTATAAAACTTTTGAATGCAGTTTTACTGCTTTCAAGTACATACAGTATAGAGTACCAAACTGTTAACCAGGTGTTACCAAACAGAGGCTCTGAGGGTCCTGTTTCATTAGGTAGGTATATTTCTTTTGTAATTTATGCCCCTTATAATTTTGTTTAAGCAATTCATTCATCTAATAAACTTTTTGTTCTAAGATTATGAAAAGGTTAACTTTGACCCAGGCTGAATTATCATACTCACATTTGTAGTCTGAATGAATGAGATTTTTTTTTGT